TTCTGATACCACCGTACCCCGTTAAATTGAACCTGTTATGTTAACAAGATAACATAAAACGTTAACAGATAACGTTTTTGAGAAACGTTATCTGTGATACATCACATTAATTTTTAGGATGTAACGTAAATGCGTTATTTATAACGTTTTTGATACATCACAGGACTGAATCCATATGATTTTGTGCTGTACATCAAAGCACTAAAAACAAGTCAACTACAAGTTTCACAAAAAAAACTACTATACCATATAATAAACTAAACAGCAACTAAATACCACAGGTACTTTTTAAGGCACTATAATGCTTTACCTGAAGAAAAACGCGGTAAATTGCTACAATATCAAAAAAAACTCGTCACTATCATTAAAAATAATGGGTCCGAGGGTTTTTAGCTACGTCACACGCCTGGCTCAGCTGTCAAATGTCATAAGTAATGTCATACCTTGTATTCATTGTACCATGGCTTCAAACCACAGAATATTCCAGAGCAAGTGGCATAGAATAGGTGGTAAGTATAATATTTTGCTGATTCCAAGCGTTCGTAATAGCGGTGGCGCTACAAGTCACGCTAAGTGGTGGTATGACATTGGCGAGGAACCGCAAATTGGGCGACGCCTGGTGGTAGATTTCAAAAGCATCCACTTCGGGAAAACTTTGAAATTGTCATTAATTTGTATACATATTAGCATTATATTAGCGACCGGTTTATATTGTAATTAACAATGACTTCGACTTTCAAAAAACTATTGCAGTGTTCCTCAAAGTTCATCCTATTATAATTCACAAAAAAAATTCCATACATAAGTTTCCGCTGGACGAGAATATGAGAAAAGTTTGGCAATACATTTTGTGAATTGGCAAACATTTAACCAAGTACGCGACTGTGTGCAGGTTACATTTTACTGAGAACGATTACTTTCCAAGTGTTGATTAAAATATTATTTATATTTTAATGTATTTATAACACCTGAAACTAAATTAAGAAAACTAAAGAAAAATACTGTTCCATCAGCTAAATTGCCCCAACGGTCTTATGAAGTTATTAGTAGAAAACATAAGGTGTAATTTACAAAATATAACGTGGCCAGCTCCAAAAACTGCCTCACCCTCAACTAAAAATCTCTGCCGATCTTGCAACCATATAAATAATTAAGATAATGTAAATTTTACTTCCCTCCCTCCAACAACACCGGAGTCTGGTCTGGTATTCGTGATCTGGTCTGGTCCCGGTCCAGACCAGATCACGAATAGAGCTCTAAAATACTTACCAGCGAAAGCCATCGTATACCTAACAAACATCATAAACGCAATGCTAAGGTTTAAAAAATTCCCAAATAGATGGAAAGAGGCCCATGTCATAATGCTACCAAAGCCCGGTAAAGACAGTACATTTCCACAAAACTACAGGCCAATAAGCTTACTACCAGCAATCAGCAAAATAGTGGTAAGAGTGATACTCAGCAAACTCCAAGCTGAAACAGACAGACATCATACCTGAAGCCCAATTCTGCTTCAGATCAGAACAATCCAGCGAGCTACAAGTACTCAGACTAACAGAGTACATAGCAGCTGGATTCAACGATAAACAATACACAGGATCTGCATTCCTGGATGTAAGCAAAGCATGCGACAGAGTCTGGCATAAGGGACTATTATACAAAATGAGAGGATACGGGTACAGCGGAGCAATGACAAGACTAATCTCTTCACTCTGTTTCAGAGTCCGGATAGGACAAGTCCTGTCCGAACTCGGGAACCCGGAGGCCGGAGTGCCACAGGGAGCGGTACTGTCACCTTTGCTGTACACGATATACACAGCAGACATACCTAGAACACCAGGTACACTATTAAGTCTCTATGCCGACGACACAGCGATAGCGGCCAAACACAGAAATGTAGACATAGCAGTCACCAACCTACAGACAGCATTAGACGACATAGAAGAATGGAGTCTAAAGTGGAAAATTGCAATAAACTCAGACAAGACGCAAGCTGTACTTTTTAAAAAGAGGCGAGAACAACCGGAAGAACAGGTAACTGTGCAAGACAATCCCATCGAGTGGAAAAGCGAAGCAAAATACCTCGGTGTAATAATGGATAAAGGATTAACTTTTAACAAACACGTAGAAGCTACAATACAAAAAGCCAATATGGCAAGAGCCGCAATAAGAGGCCTAGCAGGAAGGAAAAGCAAACTTCGCATCAAAACCAAAATAAGATTAATAAACAGTATAGTCCTTCCTATACTGACCTACGCGTCACTTGCATGGGGACATATATGCAACACGACCAAAAAGAAAATACAGGCACAACACAACAAAAGCCTAAGAGAAGCGGTAAACGTACCAAGATACGTAGCTGAAAGATTCCTTTTCAGAGAATTACAGCAAATCAGAGTGACTGACACAATGAAAGAAAAGGCTAGGATAAAGTTCGCAGAATTAGAGAACCACCCCAGTCACATTCTACGAGAGACAATGAGGTATGACGCTTTCCACAGATGGAAGCACAAAAGACCGAAACAACAGATAGTTGACTAAAAGAAAACCAGAGAGAGAAATAAAAACCCCCAGAGGGAAACGTAACCATACAAAACCCCAGAGTGAAAAGAAATTCCAAAATCATAACACTCACACAAGGATACAGTCTGTATTGTGGTATCGTATAATATTTTATATATTTTCTTTATTATAATATAGACTATATACTAATTATGATTTTTTGTCCACAGGTCACCTACAAAAAAACCACAAAAAACTGGCCTCGGCCACCAAAAAAATTACTAACAAAAACCGGCTTCGGCCACCAAAAAAATTAACAAAAACCCCAAAACCCGGGCACGTAGGGCCCAACCCCTTGAGCACCAAGTCGCCGAACTGAGCCGGGACTCAGAGCGGAGACTTGAGGCCCAAGTAAGCAATTTTAGTTCGCGGATAAGCCACATTAAGATAACAGGAATATAGCGGAGATGCGCTGTCCTGAGTTTTTGCATTCGGTTAGGAAACCATGTTGGGGTTCTATTACCCAGGACCTCCACATGAAGAGCATTTGGCTGATTGTTGTGCCTCTATAGCGCATCAGAGTGCTATAGGGGGGAAAGGGATGGTCTAGAGCATTGGAGCACGGTGGGGTGACTCCTGTTTTTACTCGAGTTAACACACCTTGCTCCAATGAATTGTTACACCCGATCGTACTACCTGGGTGAACATTTCTCATAGGCTGGGTTCAATTAAATTGCTTGCTTGCTTGATTTTTCTGCCCGTGTTACAGACATACTGTAGAAAAACAAACATTTAATTTTAATTTTTATTCAGGTTTGGGAGTCAATTACCTTATGTATAAACTCGAATCACAAACAAATAAACTTTGAAGAACGTACTCCAACTTTTACTTTGGCAAAACACACGTGTAAATGATTTATATTAAACGTTTTATAGCTTAAAGATCAAATGACAAAATGATTTATTTTCCCGAAGTTATCGTCCATCTTTGAAATCTTTAGCGCCTCATGTCGGAATTGGCTATCGCGAATAGCGGGAAAGGATTGAGTTTACCGAAAGTACAAGCTGAAAATAGCCGCAAATGTCAAAAATATTTGGGTTTGGCAGTGTTGAGATGTTTTTATAATGCATATGTTGTATGCTTCAAATATAAAGAGAGAAAGCTTTTAAAAAGTACATTTTGATTATCTATTTTTATGAACAATTTTTAATTTATATGAAGTAATAAAGAGTAAATATTTGTCTCTTTCGAGATTAATTGCAAACATCTGTTGCAATCTGGCAACTGCTGATTGGACGATTGCCAAATCTATTTCCTAATATATCAAAGGGTAATTGCAAAAAAAATTTAATAATTAACTGCAATAATCTTTATTATTTATTAAGAAACAAATACTTACTCATACTTGTTTTATACAAATAATATAAACAAAATGTACTTAAGTACTTTTCTAAAGCTTTATCTTTTTATATTTGAAGCATATAGCATCTACATGCCAACACTGCTATACCAAAATTTTTTGTTCCATGTTTGACATTTGCGGCTATAATCAGCTTGTACTATCGGTAAACTGAACCGCGGAAAACAAGCAAGCATTTGGATAGCGCTAATCGAAAACGAACCAAGTGACATTTTACAAAAAAAATGAGCACCAATAGATAGCACCACAGAATACTAATATTCACTTTACATATTATAAAAAAATCCGTATGGCTACGGAACTTCTAGCGACATCTGTAGAAAAAAGGTCCAAGCGACAATCGGAAAATCAGGCAGTTTTCTATAATATAAAAAGACCCAAGCGGACAAGGTCACAGCATAGGAAACAAATTTGTTTCCTATACTGTGACGTGGTGGTCATAGAAAAGAGGGCGTTAGGATTAGGTAGTTAAAGTTAGGTTAGTTGCGGTGGTTCCGGTGGTACATTGTAGAAAAATGATTGTTGATGAATCATGAAAAATGTTTAAAGTGAAAATAATAAGTGAAAAATGAATGAGTGCTCCAAATTACTCCTGAAAAGCTCTATTAGAGCTAAATTCCACGGAGGCAACTCCCCTGGAATCGAAACGACTTAAAACCAGCAGAAACAACTTGGTAAGTTTTTTTTGGTTAGGTTATTTGTTGGTTTTTAAACAACTTTTTTATTAGTTTAACATTTACTTTTAAAATAACTATTATAGGTTTATTCTACACCGATAGAAAATAGTTTTTGTATTATTTTTATTACTTATAACATGGTAAAAATATTTCCCGGTTGTTGGTTCCTGTTATATTTTTGCAATAAATGCAACCAAACGACCAGTAAGGAAGTTGATTCCTTTTATAATATTGCAAATATTTCAACCAAACGACATGCAAGGCGGTTGGTTCTTTTTATATTAATTGCAATAATTGCAACCAAATGACCTGCTTGGTGGATGATTATTTTTGTAAAAAATCAGTGTACAGTGTTTTAAATGAGTTATTTATATTTTTACCATTTCTTTTTTATAAATAGGAATCAGATTTTACAAAAAAAGAAATAGAATATCCCAGTTTGAGTGCAAATGATGATGATGTGAACCTAAGGGTACCAAATTCAGACAAAATAATTGTTCAAAAAGTACTCATCTTACAGAGTCCAGTAGAAACAATTACTCAGACTGAACCACCGAATTTAACAGGTAGGATTACTTAACCATACCACACATTACTTCAGGTATCTTCAAAGTATTTTTTACTTTTTTTGTTAGAAATCGTCAATATTATAGATATATATGGCGAAAGTTCTGATGACAAAAACATTAATGAAGGAAATATAGAAAATGCATTTGGCACAAGAACGAATAATTTAAACGTTATTGTTGAAGAAGTTCAGTACATTGAAAAACAATATATTTTACCGCTTGTTAATTACACAACTATGAATAACAACCACAACGATGATTCGCAGGAGTACCTTGAAGGTGAAGATTCAGATGATTCCGTTAAAGATAGGGACTATACACCTAATGAATCAGATGGGAGTAGTTCAGAAGACATTGAAAATAGATTTAATAAGGAAGATCACATTAAAAAAAGTTAATCGAGGAGAAAGAAACCTGGAAAGTCAGACCTAAAAAGGAAGAAATCCAAAATATCCTGGAAAAACATTTCAAATTAGAAAAGAAATGAAAGATTCCAATTTAACTCATTATACTGTTAGAGGCAAAATTAGAGAGGCCAAACAGTTTATTGATTACAAATGTACATGCCTAAAAAAATGTGGAGAAAATGTAAGCAGAGATGAGAAAGAAATATGTTTTAAAAAATTTTGGAACTTAGCTTCCTATGATTTACAAATTGGTTACATCGGAGCAACAGTAAAAGGGATGCCAATTAAAATTAAGTGAACAAAGGCAACAAGTAAAACTTATACTAGCAGGTATATGATATGGAAAAAGTATTAGGACTGTCAAAACTTTCAACGAATATAGTTTATTACAAAAGACAATTAGGTATTTACAATGAGGGAATCCACTTTGCTTCAACTAATACTCCATATTGCTTTTTGTGGAAAGAAGGTGTTGCTGGCAGGGGTGCACAAGAAGTGGGTTCTTGTTTTAAAAAGGTATATCTCAAAAAAGGTCTTGAAGAACTTATTTTGTGGTCAGATAGCTGCGGTGGTCAGAATCGCAATATTAAATTTGTCTGAAATAATTCAAAAAGATCCAACCACCAAAACACTGTCAAAAAACAAAAAAAAGTTAACTTATGAAAAAATAATTTAATAGTGGCTAATATTTGCTCTCAAATGCGGTATCATACCTTAAAATGTCTTTAATATCTTGAAAGTTACAAGGAAAAACATGTTTTATTTTTGTAACTTCAATTACTCAAAATCATTTTTTGGCGATTGGTTCCCTTTCGATTAGCACTATCCATTTCACATAGTAATTAGGGACAAAAAACAAGAATTACTTTTACTTTTTTCATCATATCTGAAATTATTATTTACATTGCCCAAGGAAGCAGTTGAGTACCAGCATTATATTTAAGCACTCATATTTACTTATAAATTTTCTATAGGTTTCCAAGTATATGGTTTGTGATTTATTTGGGGATGGAAATAGAGGACTGCACACTGAATTAGAAATTACAGAATCCAACCAAATCTTACTTTAAAAACAAAAAGAGGACTGCAGCACACTGAATTAGAAGAAATTACAGAATCCAAACCACACAATGGTGAAAAAAGCATTAATTACAATTTAGTTTTAACTTGTTATAGGTGAAGAATTAGTTTGACATATTCAATGTGAGTGACACTCAAACCAGACACTGGGCTTATGGTTTGGCGCTGGAAGAGCAAAATGATATTTTGCAAAGAATGTCTGAACTGATTTTAACATTGCGAGTTAAAGACAAAAAATCATTGCTTCTGTTCCATGCAATATATCGAAAGTAAAAACACATTTATAATATTTTACAAAACATAGGTATTCTTACATGAAATAATAAAACTAGGTTTTATTTCTCAAATGTTATCAAGGGTTAACTGAATACCTGATTCATTATTGGACATTCTGTGTAGGGTTTTTTTTTTAACAACAAATTAAAATTCAACTGTGAAAACAATATTGATTATTATATTAATGCTGTTTTAGGTAATACAGAACAAAAAGAATAATTTGCATAATAAAAAAAACAAACAATAATGTGCTGAATTGTGGGAAATAAATATAGAAATCAAATTAGAGCCATAGAAAATGAACTATTGGGATCGATATTGCAGGCTCGCTAGACTTAGTAGTTGATAAACATAACAGCTACAATTAGACGCAAAGATTAAACTGCAGAGAAGCCACAAGGGAATAGGTAATTTGAAATGATGTCCATCTTGGAGTTTAGTTGATTTTGTTTAATTATTTGACACAGCAGATGATAAGGATAAGGTAAATTAAATACATTATTTCTTACAAATATTAGTAAAAAATGAGTATTTTTCTTTTTAATGTATTAATATCCTTTGTTGTGCATTTTTTGTTTGAGCCGTTTATTTTGTAAGATATTTGATGAAATTGCCAAGTGTTTATTCCTATGTTTGTCCTGGTTTTCTCCTTTTGATTCTTTTTTATTTTTGCTTGCCATATTTTCTTCACTGGTCTTGTACCTTTTATTTTTTGTAAATGTTAATCTCTTAACTGTTAATATGGCACTCATTTATATTTTGCTTTTTTGTCTTTTGATTAGATTTTATACTTGTGCTGTGTGAAAGAATAATTATACAGGGTAATTCATTAAGAAGGTCCAATCTCTGAGTTGCAGATTGTAGACCTCAAAATATCAGGATTTCATGATATCAGCGTCTATATTCTTTGATATCACTTCCATGACTGATATGGGAAAACTGTTAATTTAAGTATTAATGAGGTTCTTAAGTATAATGTGGTGCCCTGTCATGCAAAAACCACATGTTTAGGCAAGAGGTGTATCCTCTAGTAATTCTTGTATATGTTCTTGAAGAACATCTAAATAGAGGTCCATTTAAATTGGTTGTTAGTTTGAAAGGGCCTATTAAGTAGTCACAGATTACACCACACCAAATGTTAACCTTAAAGTTGTCCTGAAAATGGTTTTGTTTCTTAGTATGACCATTTTCAGAATGTCACAAATGAATATCTCTCCATTTAAATATTCCTCGTCTGGTAAATGTTGCCTCATCAGTAAAATAATTTTATCCAGATAATCTAGGTTAATATTTTGTTTATCTTGTAAAAATTGAGCAAATTTTAGATGCGCAGGTAAATCTCGACGTAATAAATTCTGAACAGGAGTGTAATGATATGATATGGATGCAGTTTTGTCCTCTTCGATATTCTAAAAACAGAGTAATGACACAGAAGTCAGGCTTATCTCTGTTGCCAGATTATCATGTGAGTAATGACACAGAATAAGAAACAATCAGAATGCCCATTTTCCTTGAAAAAATAATTTTTTTCAAGGAGAATCTCATTTCAGAGAGAAAAGCAGAGAAAAAAAATTTTATGTGGGCTTGGTGTAAAAAAAAACCGCCAATAAACAATTACATAACTTCACAAATCGTGTGTCGATAAAGACCAATTACACCAAATGTGATTCTCAATCCGAGTCTGCGTTCTGTGTTTCTGTCTAACAGGACGATCGTGTGCTGAAAAACTTCAAAGGTGGCATCTGAGAGTGGGCATGCTGATTGTTTCTTATTCTGTGGTACTGATATCTGGATTCTCTGCAACAGGAAATAAAATTTTATCTTAATTGATAGTAATAGTTTTTGTAGCTCCGTGTTGACTTTTAGAACCTAGGCGGTTGTAAAGACTTCAAATAGTTTGCATTACCTTCAGTTTGGGTATAATTGTGAATATCCTCATCATTAGTTAAATTAACAGTTTTCACATTGAGGGATTGACTGTGGAAGTGAGCTTGCTTGGCCACAAAGAAGTCTGATTTTAATCCTTTGGATTTTTCTATTTTTTCGCAAATAGTTTACAAAATTGTCTCTTTTTAAAAGTGTTTTTTTTAACAATATATGACCTTACTGACTTATTTTTTAATTTTTAGTTAGAACCGATCCAAAGTTAGTGCAGCATTGAAATTTATTGAAAAGAAGATGGCCATATTCAGAAATTTAATATTGAAATATTGTACAGTGATGTTAACCCTTTCGCTCATAATTTTTTAAACTCTGCCTAAAAATTTGAAATTTTGAATATTGCTTATTTGAGTTTATTTAAGATTTATAGAGTTTGTTTCAAGCCGAAAATGTTTCCATTTTAAAAAAATATTATGTCTACATTTGTGGGCACTGAGATAACGGGGTAAAAAGAAAATGGGTTAGAGAAAACATAAATACTGAGAACAATGATAACATTTATTCAATGACACATACATAATTTATGTACTGAATGAACTTTACATTTGAGGCAAGATATACAACAGTTTCCCTTGCATCTGGGTTTCTTGCAATGCCAAGCATTTTTCGATTTATCAGGAGTAGGTAAATGCCCTACATTGTTCAATCTTACTTCCTTTAATGGTCATACTTTAAAATGTTTTTTCTTTTAGGTGCTTTTGGTTCAGGCATTATTGAAAGCGGTCATTTTTTTGTCTGTTTTTTCCTTAGAAAAAAATGCAATTTCTTTGTGAAAAAGATTCTTTTCTTTGGTATTTGCAAATTTGTTGCTTGCCTTCTACAGGGTTACGCAATGAACTGTCACCTATTCAAACGACCATAATTTTTTTGTGTGAAATTATTTTTTATTGATTCAAAGGACAAAAATGTGTGAAAATAATCAAAATTTCAGAATCCACTCACTTAAGCTCGATGCGGCCCACCTTTTGCCTTGACTATGGCCTTCAAACGATCAAAAAACGAACTTTCATGCTGCATGAATGTGATCTTCCGGTATTTTGGCCCATTCACGTATAATTGCTTTCTTCAGCGCATCTATGTATGTATGTACAGTGTTAACAGGCCTTTTAGGTCCATTGCTGGATGGATAATTTCCATCGATTCAATAAAAACTATTGGATAGCGTCCATCGGCAGTTACAGCTGCCCATACCATTACTTAAGATGGAAAATTACTTCGGGTGGCCGTTCGTAAGCTCAAACTTTCGTAGGTGCATTCGGTCAAGTAAACACGATCATTTTGAGAGTTTATGAACTGCTCAATAGGAAAATTTTTCTTATCAGAGAGCACTATGTTCGGAAATTCGCTACGTTCGTGCAAGCGTAACAACTTCTTTGTTCTTTCAAGCCGAACTTTTTTTTGCTTTGGTATAAGATTGTGTGCTTTTTGGAACTTGGCTTGACCTTGAGCTCCTTTTTCGATATTCGTTGCATGCTTCGCTGGGATATGTTCAGTTCCTTGGCCATTTGATTACCACTACGATGTGGATTTCGCTCAAGTCGAGCCTTCACTTTCCGAACCATTTCAGGTTATGTTGCTGCAAACTTTTATTCACATTGAGGTGTTTGAGCTGACGAACAATAGCAGGTTGTGATGTTCCAGCCAAATATAACACAATCACACTATTACGTTTAAATTTCATTGCAAATAACTTT